ATAAACAGAACCCGACACTCCCGACGGCCACTGGGGATTTCTCACTGGGGATTTCTCGGGTCACTCCCCGGACTCCAGGTTCAGCTCCGCCCCCTGAGAACCCCGCCAGGCGCTGGACACTATTGGCCAGCAACCTCTGGCCTTGGAACCCTGGCGGAGAGAGGGGAGGAAATTAATTAACATAAGTTTGATCCCAAAATGCCTACAAGCTGACTTCTCCAGAACTCTGATCTCAGCTGCCTCTAGCCAGGATCGCCCTTCGCCTTTCCCCTCTTCTGAAAAGATGAAGCCATTGTACTAGCATTTGTGTGTGTGAGTGTGTGTGCGCGCGCGCGTGTGCCTGGTTTGTACATGAAGACTGTACACACTTTTGCAGCGATGCAGCTACAAAGCTGTGGATTTGAGATGTGCTCCAACTACGTCCTTGCGCACCGTGCTGATTTTACGCATAGACATAAAAAAGAAGTGGCTTTTATAAGAAGAAAATGCAACCAATAATAAAGGAATACATGAGCCAGAATAATGGATGAATAGATCTTTCATAATAACTAAAGATATGCAATATATCCTTAGGTTGCCTAAAAGGAGCTCGTAAGTAAAAAAAGAAAAGGAAAAAAATTATGATGTATATGTATGAAATCAGAAAAAGAAATCCTGTAGTTGCATCTTCATTAAGGTTGAATAAATTTGAATGGACTAGTTAAGTATAAAGTGATTACAAGCTGGAAGTCAACTCATAGAAATTCATATTACTATTAGCAGAGTTTGAATCTAGTTTTCTACCCTCAATACCTTAGACAATTTAGTAAAAATGAAGTATGTGTAGTTTCTGCTCTGAATTAACAAATCAATGGCTTATTTTAATAATTCAAATAAAAACAACTCCTAAGACTACTTAAAATACAGTTTATTTGTTATGTATTTTAAAGAGCTGTAGAACTACTTTATGCTTTCTCAGTAAAGATAGCATTTTTACATTAAAGTTTCATTGCTTTATATTTTTAATATTTCTTTACGTTTCCTCTACTTTTCAATAGTCTTGCTCCATTTACCCATCTCTCCATATAGTCTAGTCACCGCATTTCAAACCAGAACCAACACTAAGAGCAGAATCATCACACGTGCATATAAAATATTCTCCATAAAGTATTTTTTCACATATAAAATCTCACTTAAATGTGTAGGACAAATCTCCATGATCTCAATAATTACTTCACCATGCATAATTTGAAGAGATTATCTGAAATCTGAAAACAAGGGCTCAGAAAAACATGGGAAATTCTGTTAAAAAAAAAAAAAAGGTCTTTGACTGTTGCCAGATCAATTAGTTAAAAAAAGAGGGGGGGATCATGACAAAATTTGAAAGATTAGAAAAAACAAAAATGCAGACTAGCTCCATTATTCATGAAACAAAGCACAATGCAAATATTAAAATTGAAATACTGAAATCCATTCTTAGATCACTTCTACAAAACACCAAAATGTGTGATGATACCTACATGTAGATGCATAGTGTATTTATTTGTTTGTTCATTTGCAATTGGAGGCATTCTTTGGAAGCATTACCTGTAGGTACTACCAGCAAATAAAGACTGTGCTTTACACGTTCAAAGGGTTGGGTGTTGTCCCGCAAAGAGAAAGGTTGCTGGTTCGATTCCTGGTCAGGGCACATGTCTGGGTTGCAGATTCAGTCCCTGGTTGAGGCACACACAGACAGCTCATCGATGTTTCTTTCCCTCTCTTGCTCCCTCCCTGCCCCTCTCTCTAAAAAAAATTGAATATTTTTTAAAATATTGTGCTTTACAATTGCTTAAAAAGTGACAATATTCCTATTAGCAATATCCATTATTCCTGCTTAGAGTCACAAAGCTCCTGAACAGCACATACGTGTCCCACCTTGAGATAGACATGCTTATTTCAAACATTAGTGAATACGTATTTATTTCACTAAACATAGGTTTTTGAAAATATATAGAAGGAAAAGCTGAAAAGCAAATTTCAAGGAAGGATCTTCCACGATCCCTCATCCTTCATTTCTTCGTAGATGTATCTCTTCTAACCCCTCCCCACCGCATCCTTACTCTTCTACCTAAACTCACATTTTGGCCAAAATACTCATCTTACACCACATCTCTAACCCTGTCAGTCACGTTAAAAAAAAAAGTACAGGTTCCTTAGTTCTTAAAAATTAGCATCTGCAATCCTTGGCGTAGCAGAGAAGGTTCTAGGGAAACAGGGGTTGGTCCTATCCTTCAATTTCATCTTTTGAACCCCCTTCACTATTTCCTACCCATTCAGCCACATCTGTGCTGTTTTCTTCTCTATCCTAAACCAGCCACCTCCACCTGCGCCTCCCATGCACCCCGCTGAAGTATAATTTCTTCCACGAAGGTTTTCCTGTCAGGAGTAACCTCAGTCAATATCCCTTCCTGTGCCCCTCCCCCCCCTTCTCTCTTCCAGGAGGTCCTTTCTTTTGCTCTTCTAAGGAGACTCACCACATCCTACTTTTCCTGACATATCTCCTCTAATAGCTGCAACGCCCTCAAAGCCAGACCATTCCTTGAGTTTCGTAACCTAAGAACATTTGCTCTTTTTTTTTTTGTGGGACTAGAAAGGTGATTAAGAGAGCTCATAAATAGAATTTATTGTTTTTATTCAAGATGATGAAGTGATGACTCTAATCATTTGCTCACATATTCTCTGGTCTTTCCCTATAAAGTATAATAAAAATTATCATAATACGTCAAAGAGCATAGCTATGATCAGGAGCAAATATGTTAAGGAAAATCCAGTTTTCCTAGCTTGTGGCGTCAGCCAATCCAATTGTGGGAGGTATGTCAAATGACAGTCACATCTGACCAATGACCTTTGACCTCCAACCCTAACAGTCTCCATTTTTTGGTTTACAATACATTTATGTTTCGAGAGCCACAGAAATTACCATCATGGGAATGCAAAAAAAAAAAAAGTGTATAGAGTAGTACACTCGTATATGTGTTATGCATAATTATTGGCTTTGGAACATGCACCTAAATGAGAACTTATTTAACCTAATGGCTCGTATCTTCAATTTGTCTACTATTAGGGCCAGAGAAAATTGAGCCACCTAAATCATAATCCATGAATTAAACAACTATTGATGAACCTTTCAAAGCTACTGGGTATCCATACATGATGCCAGAACCAGCAGGTAACTAAGTTTAAAAATTAAGTCAAAGGAAATGTTCAATAGTCTGAAACAACACAATGTTGTATAGAGTTCTTAAAGCACCACATCAGTATATTTCCTCTCATTGGACATTCAATAAAATAATTTTGACACAATAACCCACTAAATATTCAGTTAGTTTCCATAAAAAATTGTCTTCTTTAAGAGAAAGTGAAGTCCCCCATTAAGAAAATCATAGATTACAGAGTAGATCTTAAATCTATAACTTGTTTTTTTTAAGATCACAAAATATGCCTTTTGGACAGAATTATCTTTACAAAATTACAAGAAACTAAACTATATATAATGTTAATGTTAATGTAATGCATGTAAACTCACATTCCTTCTGTCTCTTTCTAACACTTTTATTATTATAATGCCTTTTATATAAATATCCTAAGTGAAAGAAAGGCAGTCTTTTAAAATCACACATTATAAATTAAAAATACTTAGATTCAGAGTGAAAAATTGATTAAAAAATCGTTTGGTGCGGTTACAGATTTCTTCCTACAAAATCCACAGTCGTACATGTTTTAAAATCTATCTTCCTAAACACATTATTTAAATACTAGTTTTAGCATATTTGTAAATGTCTGCATTTTTATGATTCATCGCACTGTTTCTCGAGAGGCTGTCTACAAAAGACCTGCTTCAAAATGATCTGAAGCGTCAGTTTCAAATGCAAGATGCCTCTCCAGCGCAGCGGGATCGCCTACCTCCCAGGGAGCACCTGGGGCCTCGCATTGGAAACAAGTTCCTTCGCCCACGTGACCGCGGTCCACCGAACCCGACGCCTGCCGCGTCTGTCTCAAACCAGGTCTCACTACCATCTCAACATACGTTCGAAAGAAAAGTTGCCAAATGATTTCGTCCAAACATGTATGATTTCCAAACGCTCGGTTGTTGTTTTTTTTTTTAACCATTTCTACAGTGTCCACTCAACAGAAAATGAAACCTGTTTCCAAGTCGCAGGGTATTTCAGTCCAATGAACCAAGGGAAAGGGGTCGCTTTTCACCGTGTTCCCCGCTGTGCTGAGCGCAAGTCTTGTCGCCCCCTTCTCCTCTTGGGACGGGGCCCTCCGCTCTCCGCAGCTCAGAACATCAAGCCTCATCCGCAACTGAGAGCCCTCAAGAGGCAGGTTCACGGGCCTTGGCCGTGGGTTCTCAGAGCCGCCGGCCCGCCGGCACCTCGGCTGCGCCCCGCGGAGCGGGGCTCCGGGTCTTAGCGCCCAGATGCCCGGCGTCCGCAAGGCCACCGAGCCCCAGGAAACGGACCCGAGGCCCCCCGGAATGCACAGACCACCACCCTCGTCCTCTCCAGCTCCCAGCCTCTCTTCCCAAAAGACAACAAAGGAACCTGAGCGACCTCTCACCTAGAGTCCGACCCACCCCCACCGCTCGCCCGCCTCCCGGTTCCCCAGCGCCTGTTGCTAAGGATGCGGCCGGCACTCGCCACTCGCTCTCGGGCGGCCAGGGGACGGGTGACAGCGCGCATGTGGGTCCGGCAACCCCAGGCGGCGGTGCCAGCCGAGCGCTAGGCCAGCCCAGGACCCCTTCCTTCCGCAGGAAGGGTGCGCCCTCCGCAGGGCCGCGACGCCCACGACGCCCCCCGCGCGCCGGGCGGGTGGAGGGAGCCGCGCGAGCAGGAGGCCGGCGTCCCGGCGCGCCGCTCCCTCTGCGGCCGGGAAGCTCGGCCCGGCGGAGAAGGCCTCTGGCCCACTACCGTGGACGCCGTGGGCCCAGACAGCGGGGCAGGGGCTCGTGGGCAGCCCTGGGGAGGGCGGGCACTCACCATGTTGACTTCGGAAACCATGTCTATGCTGGCGATGTCAATGTTCATACCCACGCAGACCGGGGGACCTGCGGAAGCGCACGACACGGTGGTCAGTCAGGCTCAGGCACGGGGTGCGGGTGGCTCTGAGGATGCGGGGGTTCTCCGAGGAGGGGGGCGTAGGAGAAGGGCCCCCCACCCCACTCGCCGCAGCTCGGCGGAAGCGGACCCCGCCTCCCTCCTCCACCCAGGCCGCCAGTGCCGGGGTTCGCGCTTCCCGCAGCGACCGCGCACACCCCACTTACCCCCGAAGTCGGGTCTCAGGCGAATGTCATAGCCTTTCAACAGCTTGTCCACCGTCTCCTTCACAAAGGACATGTTCCCGGGATCGTTCACGCTGGGGGAGGGGGAGAGGGGCGCGGAGAGAGAGGTCAGGCGGCGGCTCGAGCGCCGGCGCCCCGCGCGCACCCCCGCGCGCCCTGCCTGCCGCCCGGCCCGCTTCCCGGCAACCCACCGCCACCCTACCTCTGGGCGCAGCACACCACCGCCACCAGCACCGGGGCCGAGAAGAAGCCGAAAAGCCTTCCTCCCGCAAAGCCCCACATCCCTCCGCCGCGCCCCGGCACGGGGGAGGGGGCGCCCCGCCGCCGTCGCGACCCGCAGCCGGGGCTGCTCCTGCTGCCGCCGCCGCCGCCGCGCTGGCCCCGAGCGGAGGAGGGCGGAGGGGGAGGGGAGGGAGGCGGGAGGCGCGGGGAGGGAGGAGCGCGGGCGCAGGAGCGGGGGGAGGGGAGGGGGCCGGGCGAGCCCGAGGCGGAGCCGGCTGCCCCGCGCGCCCGGCCCTCCCCGCGCTCCGGTCGCCGCGGCGCGTGGCCGGGGCCCTCGGCGCTCCCTCCTGCCCCAGGGGCTGCGGAGCGGGACCTGGAGCCCAGCCGAAACGGCCGGAGGAGCCGCGGCTGCGCGGCGCGCGGCAGGGCCCGGAGTCGGCCGCGATGCCAGCTCCTCGGGCTCCCCGCGACCAGGCGACGCGGGCAGCCGCGGCGAGGGAAACGCGATCCGCTTTCCCCACCCCCTCCCCGGGCCCGACCCGCGCACGGCGACCCCCGCCCAGCTGCGGCGCAGCGACGGCCCAGAGGTGCAGCAGAGTGGGTGCCTCTGTCCGCGGCGCTGCGCGCTGCGGCGTCCGGAACGAGGCTGCGGGGCCCCGGGGAAGCCCCTGCCTCACCTGTGGGGCTCAGAGCCGTAGGTCCCCAGGGTCCAGCAGAGCCAGATGGGCAGCAGGAGAACCGGGAGCCCGGAGCACATGGCGCTGCTCCTCCGACCTAACCTGGGTGGCATCCGCGCTCCCCGCCCCCCCAGCCACGGAGAATTCAGCGCCGAAGCGGGGATCCCCGCCCCTGCCCCCACCCACGGGCTTTCCCGCCTGACCCATCATCCAGCCCCTAGCATGGCGGCCCGATTAATTATTTATGCACTGTAACACCATTTTAAAAATCGGTTTCTCTCACCATCACACCGAACATTTCCTATGATCACCGCCGCCCCCCCGGCCTCACATATATACATTTATATGAATGGCAAAGCAAGTCCCGAGGATGTGCACTGTGTTATCGGTTAGCTGGGGTCCCGATCAGACGTGGAGACCCGGGGCTGCCTCCTTCCAGCGTCGGGAACAGGACGCGTCCGCTCTGCGGCAGCCTGGAGCTGTCCGTGGTCCTTAAGGCTCGGAACCTCGTTTTCTCGGGGACCGGCCTCCGTCCGTTGGGTCTCATTAGAAGACTCCTGTCCCCTTCCTTGGCCAACAAACAGGCCGATGTCCACCACAGCCCACTCCGTCCTGGGAGCCACCTCTGTGTACCTAAGGGTGTCTCCTCCCCCGTGGCCGTGAGTTCTATTTTTCTTTAGTCACTGAGTCTCAGGAAAGTTTCCTTGTTCCTCAGACTTTTCCTAGTGAAGGAAATGGTTACACAACCGGGCGTGTGGTCAACCGAACCCCACCGACAAATCGGGTCCACTTTGTGCTCAATGGGCTTCCTTGGTCCATTCCAGTCCTTAATGAATGGTTAATAATAGATAATTCCTTCCCTGTATTGACTTCTTTTCTATTGTCCAGACTTTGTGTGGCTAAAGGTCTAAATCTAGCCCCTTATTCTCAAGCCGGCGTGTTTCGGGGCATTAATTTTAAATATCGCTGCCTTTTAGAATCATCAGTTTGATTTTTGGAACAGAAAATGTGACCGCAGGAACTGAGAGGTTGATAGGCTAAGAGACAAAAATAGCTCTCTGATCGTTTTCTGGAAAAGTCTATTTACAGCTACTCTGTATTCTGTGCCCTGTTGTGCACGGTGGAATTACCAGGAAAACAAGACCTGGGTTCTCATACTTTCCCCCCCAAAATTCACGTTTCTGTCTATTTCTTCTACTCGTATGTGCCTCTTTCAGGGAACCACTCTGCTGGGAGTCACAGCTGTATGAAGTGAACGATGAGAATAGAACTTGGAAAACCACATTGCAAATGCTATTACTATCCAACCGTGTACCGCCTCAGATCTAGGCTTCAACCAGCCTGAGGCTTTTGGCCTTATATATATATATATTTTTTTTTTAAATCCTCACCCAAGAATATGTCTTTCTTTTTTATTGGAGGGAGGGAGGGAAGGGGGAGACATTGATGTTAAAGAGAAACATCCATCAGTTTCCTCCCATGCAATCCCACAGCCTAGGCATGTGCCCTGACCAGGGATCGAACCCACAGCTTTGGGCTGCATGGGAGGATGCTCTACCCAACTGAGACACCCGGCCAGGTCGTGGCTCTAGATGTTATGCCGGTGGCTGGTTCAGCACGCAGCTCCATGAAAGCGCTGATCGGTTTTCCGTGGGAGCAACCCACACCCTCGCCACGTGTCCCTGCTACCTGTCCCTCCCTCATACCTTCAAGCCTCTCAGTTGACCCTGGGGTCCGGGATGCTACAGCAGCTGCTTGGTACCCACATACGTGCAATCTGAAATTGTGGGAGATTAGCCACCTATGACGTGGGCGTTTAACGAATGGAAGGTGGGGGTTGGTTTTGATTCTCCTGTTACTGCCCCTGAGCGATGTCCTGAGATGCAGCTGTACCTCCGGTGTCCTCGTCTTCCAAACCTCTCTTGCCTTCCTCCACACTCCTGTTTCCACTGGCGCTACCCTCGTAATGCAGTAGCATTTAAATTTTGCCTCGAGATATGTTTTCTGGGAAAGCCAGGTGAAGTCATCAGCTGACTGGCAAATCAATACAAAGTGTCACCAAAAATGCCATCTTCTTATAACAGGAAGACAAAAATCAAAGAGAAGCGCTCTGGTGCTTGCACACAGGTGTAAGCAAGATATAAGGGGACAGAAGGCCCATCGTGGTCGCTGCCTCGCTTGCCCCAACGTGAGCTACAAAGGCTGGATGTGCAGTATCCCCTCACCTCACCTCAGCACCCTCCTGCGTGGACCCCCAACTTGGAGGTTTTGATGAACCCCGAACCCCAAGTACCCCCCTCCTTCCACTCTCTTGCCAGGATTCTGAAAGCCAAAACTAAGTCCATGCCTTGACTAGATGATGCCACTATATTAACAGAATCAGCAGGAAATTAGTAACTCAGCTCTTACCTACGTGTATTTTCTACTGAAGGAAAAAAAAAATCACTGAGTCCCACAATGGGTAAATTTTCATGTCAGAAGAAAACAGAGATGAACGCCATTTTGTTCATAGGAAAGTGGTTTTAAACAGGTTAGTTTGATCGGCCTGGCTGGTGTGCCTCAGTGGATTGAATGCTGGCCTGTGAATCCAAGGGTCATGGGTTCGATTCCCAGTCAGGGCACAAGCCTGGGTTGCAGGCCACGTCCCCAGTAGGGGGCGCACGAGAGGCAACCACACATTGATGTTTCCCTCTCTTTCTCCCTCCCTTCCTCATCTCTAAAAATAAATAAAGTCTTTTTAAAAAAACAGGTTGGAATAATAGTCAGGAACCCTTTGGTAGGTGGAACCAGGTAGACAAGGCATGTCATGTGATCGCTTTAACCAGCCCATGTCTGACCATTTGGACCAAACCAATGCCTTCTGCCAAACGGTGTTGTGTTCACAGTTGCACTCATAGAGAATCAACGTATTTTTTTACACAGCATGAAAGCTTCTGACACTATGTTTTAAAGCTCTTTAAGAATCACAGCCAAGTTGACATGTAACACATGAAGTAAAATGTTCAATGTATAATTAGATGAGTCTTGATAAACGTATAAACCCGTGTACATTTCATCGCTCGTCACGTGCCCCGTCAGCCCTTTCACCTACTTGCCATTCTCGGTTGCAGACAAGCAGGGACCTCGGTTCCGTCATTACAGACTTCTCGCCTGTTCTCACATTGCCTCTAAGTGGAATTCTGCTTTATAGTTTCGTTTATGTCTGGCTTCTTTCCTTTAGTATAACGTTTCTGACATTCTATGCCTGTTGCAGCAGATTGATTGCTTGTTTCTTTTTTAGTGCTGAGTGAGGTTCTGTTGTATAACGCTCCCCCAATTTGTCCATTCATCTGTTGTTGGACAGGCTGGCGTAGCCACTGTGGCAAACAGTGTGGAGCTTCCCCCAAAAATTAAAAATGGAACTGCCTTATGAACCAGCAATCCCACTGCTGGCAATATATCCGAAGAAATCCAATCCACTAATTTTAATGCACATAGGGGGCAGCATTATTTACAACAGCCAAGATATGGAAGCAACCCAAGTGCTCATTGATAGAGCATTGGATAAAGAAGAAGTGGTGCGTATATACAATGATATATTACTCAGCCACCAGAAGAAGGCAATCCTACATTGGGGACAGCGTGGATGGACCTAGAGGGTATTACGCTAAGTGAAAAAAATCAGACAGAGAAAGACAAATACCATACGATTTCACTTATATGTAGAATCTAAAGGACAGAAATGAACAAATACAACTGAAACAGACTCATAGACACAGAGCAGAGTGACGGTTACCAGAAGGGAGGGGGTTTGGAGGTTGGCTGGATTGGTAAAGAGATTGAGAAGTATGGATTGGTAGCTACAAAATAGTCATGGGAATGTAAAGTACGGCACAGGGAATATAGTCAATAATATCATAACTATATATGGTGTCAGGGGGGTACTAGAAATAGCAGGGGAAACACTGTGTAAAGTATATGATTTTCTAAGCACTATGTTATACACCTGAAACTAATACAGAATAATATTGAATGAAAACTGTAATGGAAGAGCAAAATAAATAAAAGAAAAGAGAAAAAAATCATCCTTTTCAAAAGCACCATTAATTTCTCCATACGAATCGTCTTCCTAGCCTGCTTGTGTAACAGGACGTTGGAAAAGACGTCAAATTCCCACTAAGATAATTGGGATGCAATGAGAGGCATAGGTACTATTAAGAATCTTTTAAATATTTAAGGACATAAAAATAAGAAATTGATACAGTTGTAATTGCTGAACCTCAAAGTAGGCCTGCAACTCAACAAAAAGTATCAATTAAAACCACAGGTTAAAAAATATGAAAAAAAAAAAAACCCCACATGGTTTTGATACGTTTGAAATTTGATTATGATGTATCTTTACATGGATTTCTTTATGTATACTTCCATGGATT